CAAATTCTCTCTGCGGCGATGAATGTCTTCATTTTGCATTGTGATAGCCCAAGCATTAGTTTTAGCAACGGGCGTAATGAGCTACATATTGGTTCGCCAGCAACAATTAATCAACCAACTAGCTTGGTGGATAGTTCTCGAGCAGAAAGAGTGCGAGCAAATGCACATTAACTGAGATTTACTTCATCTTCCTACGTCGATGTATCCAGTCTTATAAACTCCTTGAAATAGAAAAGCGCCAATAAAATCCAGAGCTTCTCCGGGCGCCAGCACGGCTTTGTTCATAAATGTTGCCCAAAGGAACATAAAGTCAAAATGATACTTATGTAGTTTAGATAAACTATTTGTAGCACGTAAAAGCATGAAATGAGATACTATAATATTATAAACAACCATCACAAATAATATTATTTCAATTAACGAAGAATACTATAATAAATCTTTCACCCCTAAACCGATTCTGGAGGGTTTACATTATATACGCATTCTGACCTGGACTCTGGATTAAAATCCAGAGGCTTTCAACGTGCCTCGCTGAAAAATCAAAAATACAGTCATTTATTGGTCAACCACGGCCATCCGATTGAATATGATGACGTCCTAAGCGGGTGGGTATGGCATTCTAACGTTTACTCTGAGGACACTGCCAGTTTACGACAGAGTCTCGAGGATGCTATAGCAACTGCTTGACAACCGAGTTCCAAGACCTCCCAGAAGACAATCATCTCCATAATCAAGTCACGACAGTTTCTGCATATTACGAACGACGTATTTTCCAAAGAAAGAGCTCCACCCCTCCTTGGCACCATCTAAATGGCCAGCTTTTTGAAGCGTCCGCATTCTGACGTTTCCGGGAGGGGGATGAATATTGGGCAGTGTTACTAGGCATGACACTCAAAACCAGAAACTAAAGAATGGCGAAGCAACCAAGTCGTCGAGGGACATCCAAGCGTGTAGGGGCTTATTGGCATGCTCTGCACCACCCAAGCCTAATCAGGGAGCTGAAACAATGGTTCAGACACATATTCTTGAGAATTCACACTCATGCTTGCGGGGCCAAATTTTCCCTCCCTTGTTGCTGGCGCAAAAGCTAAATTCGGTGTAATAATTTCTGAAGACCCAAAATTAGACCAAAAATTACACCCTTTTTAGTGGACACACGAATCGTTTAAGATTCGAGTTCGTAGGACTTAATATCCCAAATCAAGCATGGGTAACTTCCGCTCGGCTTCATGTACTGCGCAGGAAGGGCTGGTATGGTTCAAGCAGGGTGTTGAAATTCCATGTTTCGAGATTTGAAGTCCCGTGCTATTATTGTGTCAATATTCTCTGCCTAGCTTGCTCTCTTGACGATTTGAATATGTATTCGAGTTCGATACTCGCCAAAACCCGTTCCAATCCCTCAAATGTGCCCAGCCAAACGCGTCACTACGATAACATCACGTGACCCATCCGGTATCGACGTATTTTAGTGGCCCTCATGCATGAACCCAGGCACAAGTCCTTCTTGCGTCGCGTCCCAGCCTGAACCGCTTCATTCTTTAACTTGCTTCGGACAGCACCACAGAAAAAAAGAGTTTAAAGACGGCACGAACAATGCTGAACTGCAAAGTGCCGATTCAATCCACGCTGCTGCTCGCTTTGCTCGGGGCTACACAAGGCGAGACAGCGACTTCAGACCCAGCATCAGCAACATACTCGCTGTCAGCATTTGCCATCGGCGACTGGGGCACAACCGTGACCAAGGGATCCTGCTGCTCACGATCGGCTACGTATAACAACTACGATATCAATGCTGAGGACGTTGTGGCGAATCTGATGGATATCCAGGCGGGTAAGGTAGGCGTAAAGCCGAAGGTGATCATCGGACACGGTGACAACTTCTATTGGACGGGAATCAACAGCCTGGAGGGTCGTGACTCGCGCTTCGCCACGACGTTCGAGGAGAAGTTCAACGGCAACAACATCAAGACGATCCCGTGGGTGAACGTGCTGGGCAACCACGACTACGGTGGTGCCAGTTACGTGTG